AACTTGTTGCTAGTACTGTTTTCATTACAGGTACACTGTTGTATAATTTAGTCTCTGATTTTCTGAATAGAATTTCAGAGGAAGTCTGAGCTCTGCTTGTAGTGTGTTCATCAAAGCGAGATTTCCCTTCAGGCTTTCTGGTTGGTTATAGCAGTTCTCAACTCTAGTACTTCTGAGGCTTAAACATGTGGAGAACTTTTGAGCTCGCGCAAAAGGAGATGGAACTGTTCCCATCTGTAATGCGTCCGGTAAAGACTGTTGGCATATGCGTTATTTTAGTTACATTAGAAACGTTACAGTATGAATCATAGGCGTTTATTGTAGTTGGAACAAGTTTACTTACTGAATTGGTTTTCTCTGGAGCAAGAAGTGAATTGGCCCAGGCATTTTAATGCATGTGGTGTGGAAGAATTGATAGCAGTCGACTTGTGGAAAATGTATTTGTGCATCAAAGATCATCAAGACATTCAACTGGGAATTTCAAAGTGCTGATACTTATGCATGATATGTTATGATTTGTTTACTTATTTGTAAGACTGTAAGGCCATATTATCTGTTTCAAACAACAGTCAGAAGTTGTTTGGTAAAAGTTAGCCTGAATCTTTCTATTTTACCCTATGAATTATAAAGAATCAGAGGTGCAGTCTTGATATGGAATGGATTTAGCTTTCTTCTATGTACTGAGGAAATAAAAGGATGCTAAGAAAGAGAAAGTGAGGAAAAAGACATTTTAAAGGTTGGAGTAAGAAGACTTGATGAGAAATAAGCTCATTCAGACCCTTCTTTCTGAGAAACATCTTTTGTTTGTTGGAATGCAGGTAAATACTAATTTAGGCAGAATAGCTATGTAATGACATAAAATGTACTTCCTCAAGATTTGGACTTGATCCTGGATAGATATATTTGGACATGTGATGCTGACTAGATCCTTCCTCTTTTCCTAGTTTTCTGTTCCTAGCAAAGTTTAGACTTCCTGATAAATGTTTATATGCCCTCTTCTACCTTGACACTACCTAGATGTTGGGAGAGGGGGAAAAAGAAATTGGTTACTTTGTTCTTGATGCTTCCCTCCATCCTCTCTGTCTGCTCTTGCTTCAGTTGTCAAAGATGTGTGAACTTTGCATTACTTGACATTTTAGGCTTGTGAAAGCTGGCATAAAGTATATTTTCAGCGTGACAGTTACATTTCGTACGAAAGAAGTGTTTTTCACAGTGTCTTGTTTCATTAAACAAAAACTTGTTTGTGACAAACCAAAGAATCTTTAGCTTTTAAGATAGAGGCTGATTAGAGGCTGATGATGAACTAACCTTCTGGGTTTCTTGTATTTTTTTTAATTAAAAAAAAAAAATTCCAACTTTAGGACGCTGACTCTTCTTTCTGAAGACAGCATGATTTGTCATGTATTGGTACCACTTCTCAGACTTGAATGCCTTGAGCTTTCACTAAACTTCATAGAAGGGACTGAAGGGAGAAAATCTAAGAAATAAAAATACCAGTAAATGTAGTGTTAGATGTTTGCCTTTCATTCTAGGAGGGAATAAAGCCTCTGTGTATCAGGGGATGGAGATTAATTCCAGGGTTCTGTTTTGTTTCCAAAATCATGCCTTTTATTACACATTTATTTAGGTGGATATAATTTCAAGAGAAGTTGATGTGCTTGGTTTTGTCCTTGTTTTGAAAACGCTTATTTAGGATTTCTTATTAGAGTTAACTTTCTCTTATCAAACTGAAATTCCCAGCCCTTAGATATTTTATTTCTGTAACTTAATTTGTACAAATAATGCCAGATCCGATGCAAATTTAATCTTGTAAATTGGTTTCATTTTTCTGTTTGGGCAGCTGAGAGGAAACGTTTCATTTTCTTAGAAGCTTAACACCATGCTGTGCATGCTTGTAATGGTACAGGAAAATACACGAATTCAGAAATACAATTACACTGTGTTTTGTATTCTTATATTTCCTTGAACTCAAATATGTCTACATTGTATTTTTCTGCAGTTACCATTTGTGGTATAAACCACTTGAATCTTGCTTTGAGAGTGTAGTGTCTTAATTCAGAGTGCCGGTCTTGATTTTATATCATCAGTGTTAAGATTTCAATTTTTGCTGTAACTAAAGTCTTTCTGAGAATCGAGTCCCTGGTAGGCCACTTTCAACCTAGGTGTACTAGGGATAGTGGGACTCTTCAGCAACAGATCTCAGGGTGTTTTGTATCCTCTAGTATCAGTTGTGAAAACTTATTAATTTAAGATAGCTATTTTTCTCCTTGAAAGACAGAATTTCTCATGATGGGGGACAGAAATTGAGGAGTTTTAAGAGTTAACAGCTCTCTTCATCAGAGCAAGGCAGCCTTGTGAATTGTTTATGGATTGTGGTTAAAGATGTTGTGTTGTGTAGTTAGGCTTTAAAACGCATTTGTTAGGACCTTGACACAGGAACGAGCTATGGTGCATGATTTGACTCCAGGGTAATTGTTTTCTCATGCTGCAGTTTCACTCTGGGTGTAGCTGCTCTAATGGTACGCCCTGGGTGAAAGCTGTGTGTTTTCTGCTGCATCCTTTGCGTAGAACATGAGCGCTCATCGAATGTGCGGTTAGTCAGATAAGGGAGCTGAACTGTCTGAAAAATGGAATGGGACAGAAATCATTTTCCGATGGCTCAGCTCTCCTTTTGGGTGGAGGAACATGAGTCCGACACCCACTGTGAGGGAGATGATAGGAGTGCTCGTGAAAGGCTTGAGGAGTGTGTTGGGGTTGCTCCTTCTGGGAGGAGAGTGGACTTCAGCTGAATGAAGCCAGCTGTTAAGATTCAGTGCAACACTTCAGAGCTACCATAGAGGGTGGTTGGTTTTTTTATGTTTGTTTGATTGTTTTGGTTTTGGGGTGTGTTTTGTGTGGTGGTTGGTTTTCTTCAAAGGTCTTCTAGGGTACAAGCATCATAACAAAATGGTTCTGATCATATATGCTAACTTTCTCATGCAAAGTATTCACGTAACTGTCATTTCCTCAGTTGAGTTAAAATTTTGTTCATGTTGGTAGTGGTTGAGGGAGGGAAAAGGCAGGGAATTCGCATCCAATAGGAAGACAGTGCAATGAGTTTAGTAAGCAGCATGCCTTGCAATTCCTAGGAACTGTTCCTTACTGTTTTGCTAATGTTTGTCTTTTCCTGTACCCACAATTATTAAATGTGATTTAAAGTGAAAATGACAAAATGCTGTTTTCAGGCCATTCCCCTCTTCTTTCTGGTTATGCAAAGTATATGGTATATGAAGTTACAATGAGTATCTGTGAGACTGGGACACTAAGCACATTGATACTGTATTTCATTGTTCATATAGAAATCTTTCAGACAGTGTTTTGGTTACTGTTTAATAATTCTGTTTCTTAATAAGTAACCAGATAATAAGTGGTTTGTTTCTTTGGGAAATCTTGTGCTGTAAAGGTATTCAAAGAAATAGGGAACAAAAAGCTTGCATTGAATCAGAGAGCTGCATCACCATCTAGTTTTTGTTACTGACAGTGTTGTGGGGGAAATCTATACAGTGGAAGCTGGTCTAAAAAACTTGGCACTGTAGGTAAGAAAACTTGTGAAATGATGGTGATCCTTAGCAATGTTTTTGGTCTCATTATCAGTGCTTCTGTTGGATGTACATCAACTTATTCAACTGATTTCCCTTCAGTTCTAAAAGACAAGCATTTCTGTTCTACAGATTATTCCCGTATCTGGGAATTTAGGTGAATTCACACAATGAACGAGATCAAAATATAATAGTTTGAACTGAAGTACCACACGTTTGTTCCACAGATAATCTGGAGGATTGGCTATATCAACTGTTCAGTGCTAGTTCTTTGAAACTGAGACTAAGAAACACTGGTGAGAGATGAGCTAAAGGGAATATCAAGTTTAAGGTATACGTGTTATTTAAAAAAAAACAAACAAACAAAACCCAAACCAAAACAAAAAAACCCAACAAAACAACCCACAAACCCTTATGAATTAATTTGAGAGGCACAAAGGTATAGGTAATCTAACAGTAATAGGTATAGCTGAACATCTTAGTCCATACAGCTGAAAATGCTGCTACTGTTTGTACCTTCTCCTGTGCTAAGTAGCAAGCTTGCAGCGATCTCTTTGTACTGAGGTTTGTATTTTTTTATTTGCTCTGGCCTCACACCTATTCAAAGCATTAAATGGTTAAAAAAACTAGTAAGGTCTTGGGATGGCTGGTTTCATATAGGTCTATTTCATTAGAGGAAAAAGTAATCTCATGTTAAAATAATGGGCGTTCCCATGGGAAATAGTGGATAAGTATCTGTGTACTTCTAGCACAAGCATAATTAGAAAGTATGCAAGAAATAAACGTGCTTTGGGGAAAAAGCTTAATTCTCCAGTTCTCCCCTTGCTTCTTGTTTATTGCTACCTGTACCACCCCCCACCCCAAAAAAAGGGAAAAAGAATGCTTCAGAGAAATTGCATTTCATTGCAATTCCTCATTTTAAAGTGATAAGGCAGTGGCTGGTGGTACAGGGTACTCAGTCAGATTGATGTTCTGATATAGTACAACAATTACTGTAATGCAATTTGGAGCTTGTTTTGGGTAATATGTTACGTAGCAGAACAGTTAAAGCTGGGATAAACGCTGGTATTAATGGGATTGAGCTCTTGCATCTTGAAACAGAGGTAGCTGACGGACTTAGATTTTCTTGTTAAATGTCACTGTGTGGAAATGTGTTTTTCTGAAACGTATTTACAGTCAAATGTTTAGTTAAGCATGTTAACTCTTAGCATGCAGGGGGGAAAAAAAAATCCTAACAACAATACTTTGGAGAATATTTCAGTATGCATAGCGCTTAGAGCAGAGTCCAGAATAGGATCATATTTTACTTGATGTCTAGAATACTAGCAGCAAATAACTGCATTATGTATTACAAATTTAACCAAA